ATCTCTCACCGTTTTTGTTTCTCTCTCCCAATTCCTGTCGTCCCATGATATCTTGATACCTGGTGTTGTTCTTTCCAACTTTGGCATTTACGTCTCTCATCAGGGTTGTCAAGTCGCTTCTTGAGCGCTTCAACACAATCGATTGCAGCCTCTCGTAGAACTGGTGTTTAATGTCGTCGTTGCTATATTTGGTTGGTGCCTAACATTGGATAACATTCATTGTAATTTCCTTCTTTGTTTTTAAGATGTTTTGACGCCCATGGGTCCATGAGATTCCTATTCTATAGGTGCTCCGTGCGCTTCTTTAGACGGTATCAGAGCATACCTTCTTGTGTATGGAGCATTTTGTTCCTCGTAAACGGAGTACAGTAACCTCTCTCCCGTATATATCGATTACTGTCCAGATAGGATCCAATAAGTTGTATATCCTCATTTTCGAAGATATTTCGCTAGCCCTCACGATCTTCCGCATTGTCTAGACGTTGCGTGCAAGCATAAAGATTTTTGCCTTGTTTTTTACAATATGCATCGGCTTCGTGACTTGCGAAGAATCTCGGCTTTCATCATGAGTCATCTTAATTTTTCTTTCGATTCCCAGGACGTAGTTTAATATGTTCATTCTGTTCAGTGTTGTTTTATCATGGTTGTCTTTCACGGGGTGAGGATACTGACCATACACCTAGTTCTCAGATTCAGATTTGTGTAGTAAGGACAAAAGGCCTACGGCCTATGTTATTCCTTTTCTTGTATGCTTCTGTGAGTGTCCAGTCTTCTCTTGAAAGAGTCAATTGAAGGTGCGGACACCACTGCTTCAGGCAGCAGGTTCCAAGTATTGATGACTCGGTGTGAAAAACTGTATGCCACGGGTATTTTGTTCGTTCTTGGCTTTTCTACTCGCCTGCTATGTCCTCTGAGGTGTCCCGATATAGTGGGGAAAAAAAGAGAGAATAAGTTAGGTCCGAAATCATGTCTTAGTATTCTGTACATCAATATTAGATCTCCCCTTAGTCTGCGATAGGACAATGTGAAGAGGTTCAGTTTTTCAAGCCGCTGTTTATATGATAGACCCCGGAGTTCCGGAATTGCACGGGTAGCTGCCCTCTGCACTTTTTCTAGTATGTCTGAGTCACCTTTTAAACAGGGGCTTGCAGCCTGAACACAGTTCTCTAACTTAGTTCTCACTAAGGATGTGTATAATGTGGTGAACATGGTAGTATCAAACTTAGTGAATGTCCTTTTTAAAGCCCAGAGGGTTCGAAACTCCTTAACTGCGACCTCCCGGCAATGGGCCGTCGTCTTAAGATCATTGCTCACTGTCACCCCTAGATCCTTATGAGACCGGACTACGGGCAATGACACATCCCCTATGTTGTATGTATTAACCGTTGAATCCCCTAAGTGCATGTAGACACACTTTTCCGAGTTGGCAGGCATCAGCCACTCTTTAGACCAGTTTATCATATTATTTAAGTCCGCCAGTTATTACTCGCCAAATTTTTACATCGTCAGCGTATAATAACATTGGAGACTGTACTATACTTGTATGATCATTAACGTACATTATAAAAAGTAAAGGACCTAGGACTGAACCTTGAGGTGCCCCACTAAGTACTGGTCTCCAGATGGAGCACTTGGAATTTATTCTTATTTTTTGCGTACGACCTACTAGGAAATCCTTAATTCATTTTAAAAGAGGTCCGGCAGTACCAAGGTTCGCCAACTTCAATAGCAGTCTATTAGTCCGCACCTTGTCAAAAGCCTTACTGAAGTCTATGTAGACAACATCCACTGAGTTTCCGTTGTCTAACGCATTAATCCAGAGCTCCCTAGCTATAAGGAGGTTCGTTGTACAGGGTAGACCCTTTCTAAAACCATGTTGTGCCATGTTCAGCAAGTTATTTGTTTCCATAAATGCCGTTATAGTCCGTTTGATTATTCTTTCCAGTATTTTAATTACAACACTGGTGAGGCTTACGGGTCTGTAATTCGATGGAACTTGTCGTGGACCTGTTTTATGTATGGGAGTGACGATTGCGTCCTTCCAGTCCATAGGTAACACAACTTGGTCAAGTGACATTTTGAATATCACAGTCAGTGTGGCTGCGATATATTGGGCTATATGTCCCAAGATTTTAGGGTGTAGTTCATCTGGTCCTGTTGACTTTTCCATATTTAGGGTGCTAAGAGCCTTAAGCACATCGTTTTGGTCGAAGTCCACGGTGAGCAGCTGGTTTGTTGACTCTGTAATTGGGTCTGGTTCTTTCTCTAGAGGAGGTTCCTGAGTGAAAACTGTTCCAAAATAGTCAGCCATAACCTCAGCTTTTTCCTGATCTTCCTCTATCAGTTCAGATTCACTTCCTACTTTAATTAGGTTGGGAATCCAATGATGAATCCTTGTTCTGTAGTTTATGTACGAGAATATCCTCTTGGGCTGCTTGAGTGCAGATTGTGCCAGCTGCATTTCATATTTTCTTTGCGCTTTTCGAATTTTAGTTATACACTCGTTTCTTATCGATCTGTAACGTTCCAGCGTACCTGCTGTGCCAAGGCGGATGGAAACATCCCAGCATTTCTTCTTTTGTCTTAGTAAGCGTCGAATATCCCGCCCTATCCAGGGATGTCCGTGCTTCTTTTTCTTTGGGACAGTCCAGGGTATGTATGGTAGAGTTACCCGATTGTATAGCTGCCTGAATAGAGTCCATGCCTCTTGAACTGATGCCTTTGAGTCAATTTCCCAGTTCTCAGCCGATGCTGCAGAGTTAATTGCCTGCATATCTGCCTTCCATAGTTAGGACGGGCCGGCGCAATTGTTTGACAAGCAATCTCAACCATGAATGTGAATAAGATGACTGCATGGTCACTTCTCCCAAGTGGTGGGAGAAAAGCCGTTTGACCAACGTCATCACCGCGTTGAAGACTAAATCTAAAAGAAGACGAGTTTCTTAAGTCGTATCTTGTGGGATCTCTAATGTGTTGTAATAATGCTAGTCCAATCGAGGTTTCTAACAGTTTGTAGTCGAAAAACGATATGCTTGACCCTACTTCTAAGTTTACCCAGTTTATATATGGTGCATTAAAGTCGCCTACTACAAGGCTTTTACCGTTGGTACACCAGGACTTAAGTTTACTTAGGAGAAAATCATCTGCTACACTTTCTGGACTGCGATAAACTACAACTACTTCACTATCTCGCCTTCGGCATTTCAACTTACATCTCACTAGTTCACATGTCCCTGAAACATATGCTACTGTCTCAGCTAATCTTATGGTCAGGGTACTTTTCGTGTACACAATAACTCCGCCTCCCCTTCGGTTTAATCTATCAGCCCTACTGGTTATGAAACCAGTCAACTGGATTTCCCTATCTAATACTTCTGACGTTAACCAAGTTTCCGAGACAGCGATAACGTCCGGTTTTTCCTTATCCACCACTGACTTCAGCTCCGCCATTTTATTTAGTAGGCTGCGAGCATTTGTGTAGCACACTTTTAAGTCTGTGGAGAGCTTTCCCTTGCCACCCAGAGTGGCTTGGGGATCGTTTTGCTCTGAACTTTTACAATCTGAAAACCCTTAAGAACGAGGTTTCTTTCACCGTTTCGGCGACGCTCGTTTATTTCCGCTTCTGCATCTCTTCTCTTAATACAATCATCTAGGCTGAGATCCTCACGGACATATATTCCGGATCGAATCAGTTTACGTGAATTACTTAGAATCAGGTTCCTTTGTTCCACCGTGTTGAATGTAACCTTTAGGAGGCGGTTTTTCTGTGGACTTTCGGAATCCACCTTTTTTCCTATTCTACAAAGCTTACAAATACTAACTCCTGAAACTGCATCTGGGAGTAGTTTATTTAATGATGTCTTAATATGATTGAGATCATGTTCAAATCTTGCCTTTGGTTCAGTATCTGAAGATTCTCTTATCTTATGAAAAATGACTGATCTATCAGAGAGATCTGTCTTGTCACGCGATGAGGATTTTTCTTCTGATAACATCCCTTCCAATGTCTTGCTGACCAGCTGCGTTTTGCCTACAGCCTTTTTCTTCTTATTTTTTTCCTTCTTACCGAAGTCCATCTGTCGCCACTCAGAACAGCCACACTATGTGGAACGGTGACAGTTTTATCCGGATCTTCTATTTCGAATTGAGGTGTATGACTGCCGATGTCAATATCAAGCGACACTTCATTCCTCGTTAATGTCAACAGAGATTTCACGTTCCCGTCAACCGCGGTCAAGTGTTTAACGGGTCCAGTAGCAGCACTTACTACACTGCCACATTCTTCATAGTCAGTGCTCCTGTTATCAGTGCTTCCATCATCGTTTTTCTTGCAGGTCAAAGCCAATAGGCCCATAGCCTCCTGTATTAGTACCTTTTTATCCGTACAGCAGAACATACAAAGCCAATGCGAGTTAGGCTTCGAGCATCTTTTGTAAGCCGTCGGACTTAGTCGTGTACACATTTTGTGGTACCACTTTTTACAATCATCACACTGCATTCCCTCCTCAACGGAGAACAAACAATTTGGTTGCCCACATTTGTGAGTCTTACCAACCATTGTAATTCGATTTAAGAGGTTTAAAAACAAAAAAACGGTAACAATGTGAGCACGAGTGTTAGTCAAGGACTAAAAACAGATACTCAGGACAAAATTTAGCAAAAACTTTCAAACTTTAACCAAAGTACTCTTAGTTAAAGTAGACCAAGAATGCTTTTTAGTGCAATAAGTACCCAAAGCAAGTATAATCACAACAAGTACAAAGATCATTTAACCGGGATCGGAACCGGCTGTATACCTAGTAGAGCGGCTAATATTTCTATCTTTACAAATCGAGACACCTAAGTCTTCAAACATGGACACCACTGACCCATAGCCACCAAATACAGGAGCTCATTAGGCGAAGACGTTCATTCTGTTCATTTCTGTTTGAATCATTTGAACAAAGATACTCAAGGTTGTGGAGGTCGGTTCGATTCCGTCCTGAATTTTATTGTCCACAATGGGTCACGTTCTGGCAACATATAAGGACCCAAAATCTATGCCGGATATCTTCAAAGGCCCTGTCTTTGATCCGGTTGACGGTTTTCCTGAGGGCCGCAAGCGTCGAGAGTTCATAGTACGTTTTTTTGTCATGTGGTAAATGTAATACTTTTTGTAATAATGGTGTCGTATTCGCAATTTGAACATGTTATAAAAAGTGAATCAGTGTGATATAGAAACGAAAGTTTGATAGCAGTTTCCATTCTTTCATATACATTTTCCACATTTCAACTTGATCAAGTTAGACCATAAAATAGACCACTGAGAGCTGTAAAAGTATTTCTTCTGTGTTGTCCCTTAGTTCTCGCACGTTTCTGTCGGTTTTAATTTATGAGTATGAACCAAGCTTATTGTGACTAATTTAGGAGTGAGTTGAACTAATCCCCGTCGGTCTATAGCTCTCAATCGTATTCTGCAAAATTGCTGTTATATTGGTTATGATGTCATATCTATTCGGGTTCGACCCCCACCGTTACGTATCTAAATGTACCTACGCGAGTCAGAGAGTACGTGGTAAAATCTGGGAACTACCTATTGTTTTAAAACAAATTGGTGGAGTGTTTGTACAATTTAACTTATAGGTCAACAGACAACCGTATTTGTGAGAATTCGATTAAAATTGTATAGTATTCCTGAGTGAAAAAATAAGACATGAGTAATACATAGAGTCATTAGAATAGATACATCCAATAAAAGCATTGTTAAGTTGAAATTCAAGTGTATTAATTTTGGTAAAGAAATCGCTGAAAACACATTTGTGATATATTGATAACGGGACAGAGGTCATGTATAGAAATTATTTGGTGTATAATGCTCATAGTAACCATGCTAAGTGATCTGGAACGTCAAATATTTCTAAAAAGGTGTAATTTTCCACTGAGGTCCAAATTTCGCGTGGTTCCACTCCTCTTTTTAATCCTTATCCACTTTGATTTTTATCCATTCAGATCTGTCCTTGTAATGTTTTGGTCATAATTTTCCCTTTGTATTGGTATAAATCGTGGTGAGGTAAAGCACTACAAATCATTCTTCGAAAATAAGCAAAGATCGTTATTCTGATATTTCTTAAAATCAATCAGTCACTTTAAATGGTTTTTCTAGCTCCCATATACACTTTTGACCTTTACATAAATGATTAGTCAGTCAGTAACAACGTAGAACATCGTACATACGTACATCAGTTCGAGTTGCCACAGCACATTAGCACAGAGATGCAGTGGTCGATTCAAATCCCGTAGTGGTAGAGGTAATAAGAGTATAAGCAGTAGTCGGGAAGACTAGTGTTTGGAGATGTTATTTAAAGAGTATAATACAGTGAAATAAATTTGGGAAGAGAAAAAAAAGAGACAAGGAGGAATAAGGAGATCAAAATTTGGGAGAACACAAAGAGTGTATGCACCTGCGCCATTCCAAACGATTTCGAGCCATGTCATTCAGGGTCTATAACCATCGGTTGCTATCATCTCGCGGTCCCCAACCAGGTAGTCTACACCTACCGACATGACTCAGACCACTTGTCAGTGACTTCATGGACTTGTGCCATGTTTTGGTCTGGCCGCCCCTAGCTTTCTTCCAACCTACTCCTATACCACTGAATATCGCACGTCGAGGCAGTCGGTGGTTGGGCATACGTAACACGTGTCCCAGCCATCTGAACTGATGAAGTTTCACTACGTCATCAATTAATTTGCCATCCTTACCCAGTACCCGTTTTCTAACAACTGCGTTACTTACTTGATGGTCCCAGGATATACGAGCAATATTTCGAAGACACCTATGGTCAAATACTAGTAACCTACGAATATCCTCTACTCTTACCGGCCATGTTTCACTGCTATAAAGTAGGACGAAACGAACTGCTGCACAGTAAACACGTCCTTTGGTTGGTAGACGGATATCTCGCCTACGCCATAAATGACACAAGTTGGTAAAAGCTAGTCAAGCCTTCTGTATTCGTGCTGAGATTTCGTCACACAGCAGACCACAAGGGCTGATGAGACTTCCAAGATAAGTGAAACGATCGACACGTTCAATTACTTCACTCCCTATCATTAGTTCGGGTGGCAATGCAACCCAATTCTGAAGCAATATTTTGCATTTCGAGGGGGGATAATCGCATCCCGAGCATGTTTGCATTGTTGCTTAGAGTGGTCAGAAGACTGCATTTTGTCAACGTCTTCTCCAAATAAAATTATGTCATCAGCATTTTCTAAGTCAACAAGTGAACCTCCCGGTAGAAGTTCAACCCCTGGAAATTTAGATGAGGAAAGTGTCGTCTCTAAAAGTACGTCAATGACAAAGTTGAACAAGAATGGAGAGAGTTGACATCCAAAAAAATGATTAACTAAACAATATTTGCATGCACGGGACGGTCCGCGAATATGCAATTAGTTTTTCATTGTATCTGTTCAACTTCTCGTTGCTGTAACCTTTTACGTATATGCGTTTGGAAATCAGTCAATATACGTTTACCAGACAACAAAAACGGGGACCTCATTAGATACTGCTTCTACTATTCTGGGATTTGGCCTGACGATTTCATCTCTGTGCTAATAGATTCGGTATCTTGAATGGATGTACATAAGTACTACGTTCTACGTTATGACTGACTTCTAAAAAGGCTACACGACGATCATTTTATCCATTTATAGTTAATTGATTTGGATTTTAGGATACTAGTCTTCATATCCTCTCTCCTTTACAGCGAAATGCCTCCAGTGATAGTTCATATAATAAAAAGCCTAGTATATTTCAGTGAATGATTGTTATTAACTTGCAAATTAAATTTCGGATCACAAACTTTTAGTAGGCCAACTCGAAGAATTTCTCAAATTTTTTCCATTATTAATACGGGTGGAAGGCAAACTAAGTAATAAAACTTTTAAAAAGTGATTTAAACAGCTGGATAATATTGCTTTTGTGCATTATATGAGGATCTAGACAGTAATTAGGTTACATCAAAAGTCATCATGTAGTAGTGAGTGGCACTTAGTCACTCATATGTTGCGTACGTGGATCGGTTTAAATTGCCAGACCACGATAGCACAATGAGCTAAAATTGTCACGTCAAACACCGGAGTATTTAAAGTAGCAACATCATCATAGTACAAAACATTTGGTGCGAAAAAGGTGTAGGAAAGATTCGGAACTTAAAATCTTAGAGAAGGCAAAGAGTAAATACATCTGTGTATCTGTTATTGATTCTGAACTACGTCACGCAATGTTTTCGATCACTGGTTACAATAATTGCATGAATACAAACCAGGTAGCCTGCACATACTTATATGGCCAAGTCCAGTTATCAATAACTCTATGGACCAATTGCACGTTTTGGTTTAATTGCCCTCAGCTTTCTTCCAGCCTACTCTTACACCAGCCAATCTTGCCCGTCAGTGTAGACAGAAGTTAGGCATACATGACGCATCTACCAAACACCTCAGTTTATGAAGATTTACTACGTCATCAATCGATGTGCTATCATTCCATAGTACCTTATTTGTAAACCAGACACTGCTCTCTCGGTAGTCTCAAAATACAATAGCGGTGCTTCGAAGATACTTATATTCGAACAATAGTAACCTAGGAGTATATTCTATTCTTAATAGTCATGTTTCACACTCATACAGTAGAACGGAGTAAACTGCTGCTTAATAAACGCGTCCTTTGGAAGACCACGCCACAAATGACACAATTTGGCAAAAGTCAATCAAGCTTTCTGATTCCGCGTCAAACACCAAACCATCTACACTAATGGGACTCCGAAGATAAGTAAAGCGGTCGATGTGCTCAATTAGTCCACTATCTTTAATTAAGGGTGCCCCAAATGCTCTGGTATGACCGAGAGTGGAGTGGGCACACCCTTCCTCTCGAAATGCTCTCACACGGCCACGCGTATACAGCCTCTGCCAGGGAAGTCCTACTCACTGCCTTCTCGTGGCGGGGGTGTTGTCTACGAAAATGAGAAGACGAAAAGCGGATGTCCGGCGCTTTAACCGGATTCCAAACCAATGGTGCACATGGGCTCCAGTATCCTGCAGGAACAAATGGCGCATGAAACAATTTTCAGTCACCGGCTACCATGGGACTGAATCTCCTCACGATGCTCCACTGCCTTGTGGGTCAGAACTTTAGGTCAAAGGCTAGGTGTGTGGCCCCCTAAGAAAACCACCTGCCTCGGTCTGGGCTCCCGGGCAGTATTACAGCCCACACACAAATACGATGAAACGTCTAAATTTATGGAAACTATTTTTCTTGCTTCGACTAACAATCAAATGATTCAAATTATTATTATTTACTACGTTATTATTCACCCTTTTTTATTCCTACTCCGTCTATACTTATTATTTCGACTTATACAGCAGCTCGTCTATGGTGGAAATTCGACTGTATCTAAACGTTCTCGAGTCACTGTCCGGTTGAAAATTGTATGCTACCACCGAATACGAATACTGAAGCAGTTTTTCTGAAACCACGTGCACTATCCAAACTGGCTACCTTCAACGTTCGCACACCTAAGCAGGTTGGACAACAGATAGGGCTGGCTATGTCTGTGGAACGTCTTAATATTGACGTTTGTTGTCTATCCGAGACCCGTATTCAAGACTCTGGTGAAGTACTACAAATTCGCTCTCCATCTGTCGCTTCGAAAAGCTTGTTTTACGTGCGCTTATCCGGGGACCCAGTGGCATCTTCGTCTGATCTTGCTGGCATTGGTGTCGCACTAAACACTAAAGCTGAAGCAGCACTAATCGATTGGATTTCCATTAACAGTCGGTTATGTGCTGTTAGATTAGAAAGTTCCAGCAAAGTGAGAAGAAATCGGCGTGAGAAACGATGTCTTTTCGTCATCTTCGGCTATGCCTTGATAGATTGCAGCCCGGATGCGGTCAAGGATGAATTCTACTACCAGTTAACTGTTCTTCTCCAGAAAGTGCGTTCGATAGATATTATGGTACAGAAGAGAGTCGTTTAGGTGGCCGATGGGGACTTGTTGATCGCAAGACAGATAACTGGGACCGTTTACAGCAACTGTGCACAGACCACAACCTATTTCTGGCTAGCACTAACTTCCGGCAC